TTTATTGCTTTAATACAGGAATACTAACAACACAAGATCTGTGTTATGACGCTTCTGTTGTCCTTACTTCATTACCAACAACGAAAAAAAAATTTTTCACTTATAATGCCAAACATAACTGAAGCAATGTCAAACTAAGGAGTTTTGTATTGATAACTGAAGTAAACACAGAGATTGCCCACATGACTGAAGCAATCACAGACTTTAGGCTTTAATATTTTACTGGACAAAGCACGCTATCAGTCAACAGTGATTTATTTCTGCTCCAAAGCAGCACAATTCTAAGAAATTTGTTTTTCTGCTTTTGTTCGCATTCGCTGCAAATGTTTACATAAGAAATTCTGAATCATCTCTTTCCTTCACAAACGTCTTTATTCAGCAGCTCCTGATATTTACAAAGTTATTGTGAATGTTTTTGTGGTACTAATCGACTAGTTCAGGTGTCAACATTCACCTGACAAAGTGTGAGAAAAATTCAAGTTGGATGTTTTAGCTCAAATAATTTCAGATGTAAACCTGGTCCCGGAAATGAGTGGTTATAGTGTTCAAAAAAGGCCCACAGGGGATTAATTTTCACAATAATGTGGCACCAAATTAAATATTAATGAGCAACAGAATGCTGTGAATAATTTTAAAGGAATAATTCAGCCAAAAATTTAAATTTCCTCAATATTTCCTCACCCTCAGGCCATCCAAGATGTAGATGAGTTTGTTTCTTCATCAGATTTGGAGAAATGTAGCATTCCAGACCAAAACACTTTTTCACTGGACTGTGGCCTGAGGATGAGTAAACGCTTCATTTTTAGTTTTATTCAGTCATTCACCAAAGCAGACATTCACCGAATGTAAACAAACTCTAACTATCTCTCCGTCATAAAACCTTGGGGTTGAAAGGGTGAGACAAACAGGCAGCTCTAAACGACATCTGCTCTATTTATAAAATAACACGGTTCTGTTATCATCACGCCCTGAAGAGGCCAATGTGTTAAGAAACAAGAACGTGAGGCCATAGAGATGCACTAAACTACTGCTTGGCCATTACATCCAACATAATCGCTAAAAAAAAAAGCAACATGGCCAATCTCAGATATAATGCAAATTGATTGATAAAAAGCAGCTGCTCCAGTGCATGTTGTGCCTAATAATAACACACTTCAGCTATCGTATCGTTTCATTAACTTCATGAGTCGGTCTCTGTGCTCTCGACATGCTCCAGCAGGTTATAGTGACCTAAAGTCTGCAGAGAGGTATGTTCATCTGCAGAAATGTGAGGCATGGGAGAGATCCGATGTAGCAACGGCTAGAAAATCCAGTCTCACAACCAGTTCTCAGACTGTCTTTACACTCATCCGCACTAAACAACCTGCAACAGCAGTCAGATTGACAACGACACGGCCTTATCTGTTCATATATCAGGTGTATGCATATATTAATATGCAAGAGAGGCACTGCATGACAGAAAGCTCACGGAAAAAACTTAAACACTCAAAACAAACACCACACTGAAACTCATAAAAGAGCTGTTTAAATGCTGCTTGATCTGTGCAGATTTCTCTCCTGATTCACACCAGAACATTTTTTCACTGGAGGAAGAGTTATTATGGATTATGGACTCAATGTATTTTAGACATTAAAAGCGTCTTAATGCTGGATGTGTTTCAGCTTTTGTCTTCTCCAGATGTTAACTGATGGACTGGAGTGCTGTGGATTACTTGTGGATTATTGTGATGTTTTTATCAGCTGTTTGGACTCTCATTCTGACGGCACCCATTCACTGCAGAGCATCCATTGCTGAGACACTGATGCAATGCTACATTTCTCCAAATCTGTGGCCTGAGGATGAGTAAACGCTTCATTTTTAGTTTTATTCAGTCATTCACCAAAGCAGACATTCACCGAATGTAAACAAACTCTAACTATCTCTCCGTCATAAAACCATGGGGTTGAAAGGGTGAGACAAACAGGTAGCTCTAAACGACATCTGCTCTATTTATAAAATAACACGGTTCTGTTATCATCACGCCCTGAAGAGGCCAATGTGTTAAGAAACAAGAACGTGAGGCCATAGAGATGCACTAAACTACTGCTTGGCCATTACATCCAACATAATCGCTAAAAAAAAAAGCAACATGGCCAATCTCAGATATAATGCAAATTGATTGATAAAAAGCAGCTGCTCCAGTGCATGTTGTGCCTAATAATAACACACTTCAGCTATCGTATCGTTTCATTAACTTCATGAGTCGGTCTCTGTGCTCTCGACATGCTCCAGCAGGTTATAGTGACCTAAAGTCTGCAGAGAGGTATGTTCATCTGCAGAAATGTGAGGCATGGGAGAGATCCGGTGTAGCAACGGCTAGAAAATCCAGTCTCACAACCAGTTCTCAGACTGTCTTTACACTCATCCGCACTAAACAACCTGCAACAGCAGTCAGATTGACAACGACACGGCCTTATCTGTTCATATATCAGGTGTATGCATATATTAATATGCAAGAGAGGCACTGCATGACAGAAAGCTCACAGAAAAAACTTACACTCAAAACAAACACCACACTGAAACTCATAAAGAGAGAGTTTTACTCTACGGTAAATGACAGCATTGAAGTCAACATGCTGCAAAAGTCAGTAAAAACCAAGGTTAATTTCAGACGTGAACTATATTCTGAGGTAAATAACAGCTGTGAGGTAAAATACAGGCAAATACGAGGCAAATGTGACTTAAATCACAGATGTCAGTTATTTTCTTAGCTAAATGTGAGGTAAAATGAAGGTAAATATGTGACTTAACCACAGATCTATATAATTTATATTATAGGTCTGTGGATTTAACTCACATTTGCCTCATATGTACCTACCTTTGCATCAGAAATAAACTGAGATATGTGATTTTATTTAACTCACGTTTGCCTTGTATCTCAGTTATTTTCTGAGGTAAATGTGAGGTAAAAAGGTAAAAAGGAGGTAAAATGTGAGTTAAATCACAGATGACAGTTCGGTAAATTACAGCAGTGAGGTAAAATTGAGGTAAATATGAGACAAATGTGAGTGAAGTCACAGATGTCAGTTACTTTCTGAGGTAAATGTGAGGTAAATGTGACTTAAATCACAGATGTCGGTTATTTTCTATGTTCATATATCAGGTGTATGCATATATTAATATGCAAGAGAGGCACTGCATGACAGAAAGCTCACGGAAAAAACTTAAACACTCAAAACAAACACCACACTGAAACTCATAAAGAGAGAGTTTTACTCTACGGTAAATGACAGCATTGAAGTCAACATGCTGCAAAAGTCAGTAAAAACCAAGGTTAATTTCAGACGTGAACTATATTCTGAGGTAAATAACAGCTGTGAGGTAAAATACAGGCAAATACGAGGCAAATGTGACTTAAATCACAGATGTCAGTTATTTTCTTAGCTAAATGTGAGGTAAAATGAAGGTAAATATGTGACTTAACCACAGATCTATATAATTTATATTATAGGTCTGTGGATTTAACTCACATTTGCCTCATATGTACCTACCTTTGCATCAGAAATAAACTGAGATATGTGATTTTATTTAACTCACGTTTGCCTTGTATCTCAGTTATTTTCTGAGGTAAATGTGAGGTAAAAAAAGGTAAAAAGGAGGTTAAATGTGAGTGAAATCACAGATGGGTAAATTACAGCAGTGAGGTAAAATTGAGGTAAATATGAGACAAATGTGAGTGAAGTCACAGATGTCGGTTATTTTCTAAGCTAAATGTGAGGTAAAATAAAGGTAAATATGTGATTTAACCACAGATCTATATCATTTCTATTATAGGTCTGTGGATTTAACTCACATTTGCCTTATATCTCAGTTATTTTCTGAGGTAAATGTGAGGTAAAAAAAGGTAAAAAGGAGGTTAAATGTGAGTGAAATCACAGATGACAGTTACTTCTTTCTGAGGTAAAATTGAGGTAAATATGAGGTAAATATAAGGCAAATAACAGTTGTCAGTTACTACTTTCTGAGGTAAATGTGAGGTACAATTTGAGGTAAATATGAGGCAAATGTGACTTAAATCACAGATGTCAGTTATTTTCTGAGCTAAATGTGAGGTAAAATGAAGGTAAATATGTGACTTAACCACAGATCTATATCATTTCTATTATAGATCTGTGGTTTTAACTCACATTTGCCTCATATTAACCTACATTTACATCAGAAAAAACTGAGATATGTGATTTAACTCACTTTTGCCTCATATCTCAGTTATTTTCTGAGGTAAATGTGAGGTAAAATTGAGGTAAAATGTGAGTTAAATCACAGATGTCAGTTAGGTAAATTACAGCAGTGAGGTAAAATTGAGGTGAATATGAGACAAATGTGAGTGAAGTCACAGATGTCAGTTACTTTCTGAGGTAAATGTGAGGTAAAATTTGAGGTAAATATGAGGCAAATGTGACTTAAATAACAGATGTCAGTTATTTTCTAAGCTAAATGTGAGGTAAAATAAAGGTAAATATGTGATTTAACCACAGATCTATATCATTTCCATTATAGGTCTGTGGATTTAACTCACATTTGCCTTATATCTCAGTTATTTTCTGAGGTAAATGTGAGGTAAAAAGGTAAAAAGGAGGTTAAATGTGAGTGAAGTCACAGATGTCAGTTACTTTGTGAGGTAAATATGAGATAGATACAAGGCAAATCACAGATGTCAATTACTTTCTGAGGTAAATATGAGGTAAAATTTGAGGTAAATATGAGACAAATGTGAGTGAAGTCACAGATGTCAGTTGTTTTCTGAGGTAAATGACAGAACTGAGGTCAAATTAAGGTAAACATGAGGCAAATGTGAGTCACAGATGTCAGCGAGGTAAATGACAGCAGTGGGTTAAATCTCAGACGGGCGTTAAATTCTGAGGTAAACTACAGCAATGAGGTAAAGTCGAGGTAAATCTCAGGTGAGCATGGTATTCTGGGGTAAATGTCAGCAGACAGGTAAAGATGAGGTAAATCTCACCTTGGCTTTGCCGGCCTGTAGTTTCTTCTGTCGCTCCTCGTCTTCCATCCTCTCCGCGGTTCCTGCGGCTTAAACACGGACACACGCGCGTCATAAAAGCGCCACACGCACGCATACACGCCTAGCGCCAAACGCGGAGCGCTGACACGTGCGTCCGCTTCGGCTCGGACGGTAAATCTGTGGGATTTCTCCAGTGTTTTATTCGGGCTTTGCTGTCACCCTCGCCGCCATGTTTCTCCACGTAAACACACGAGACCCGCGGCGCGGTGACGTCACGGCGCACGCGCCTGCCTTAAAGCCCGACGCTGCAAATATCGCTGTGCAAACAATCTCAGTTACTGTTATATGTGCAAATATAAATGATTGATTATTAAATTTATTAGTTACATCAACATTTTTGTATGCTCTCGTCGTCCTGTATTTATGAGCCATATTATATTAAATTCCATTTTGCATAAATCGGCCCGATATGTATTGTTATGATTTCAGATTTTATGCTCAAAAGTGGTCCGGTTGCACATAACTTATGAAATATATAACTACAGACACGGCAAAAGGTCTGCTAGTCTTTTAAACAGAGTAATCAGCTCTTTGTCTGTATCCTATCCCAGATGTAAACATATGTCTGCAAGATGTCCGTTAAAGATCGCTTCATCTAGAAAATAACAAACATCTGTTAGTTTTGAATGTTCTCTGAATGTTAGACAAACGTTCAAAGAAAAGGTACGTATAACAAGGTACGCAGAAATGTATAAATAATATTTTAGTGGTAATGTTTTGAGAACGTTAAACATTACTGGAAGACACTTTGTTCATAAAATTTTTTATGAAAATGTTATTTCTATGAACACGTTTTAAATGCTTTTAAAAACGTTTTTTCTTGATTGCGTGAACATTCAGTGAACATTTTAATTCTGTCGTTTTGCGAACACAGAACGCATCTTTTAAATGTTAAACGTTAGAACAAAAAAAAGTTCCATGAACGATGTATAAATAATGTTTTTATGCTAACACTTTGAGAACATTATTAAAGCAGCACTATGTAACTTTTGTCGCTCTAGCGGTTAATAAACAGAACTGCACACATCCCGCGGAAGAACATTCCAACCGGATCTACTTCTCTAAGTGCATGTCTATGGCGATTCACGCAGGTGTGTGTTACTCCGCAGCGGTGACCAGCCTACAATAGACCGAATATAAGCACTTATTATAAGTGTACCGGAGTTATTCTGAATAAGACAAAAACGCGGTTTGGAAGATGAATTCATGTTGTACTCGCTCATTATATACATTTTGCAAATTTTGAACACAGAAAAAGTTACATAGTGCTGCTTTAAAGACAAGGCAGCTAACATAAATATGTTCTATGTAGGGTTGCAAAGGGGTGGAAACTTTCCAAAAATCCCTGGAACATTCCAAAAAAATCCTGGAAAGTTTCCTAAATTTACTGGAAATGTTCCACCTTTTTGCAACCCTAGTTCTAAGAATGTTTTGCTAACGTTCTCATTATGAAAATCTTCAAAATGTCCAGTTTTTTCATAAAAATATTTTATGGTTGCCTGAATGGTAAGGGTGCATTACATTTTATCATTTAACAAACATTATGGGAACGTTACTTTTGAATGTTCCCTAAACATTCAGACAAACTAAAATATTTCAGAAAAAACGTTCCATGCATGATGTATAAATAACGTTTTTTAGCTAACATTTTGAGAACATTATTAAAGATCATTTAACTTTGAATGAACATTCTATTAACGTTACTGGAAGAGCATTTGAGAGAACCTTGCCAAAGTGTTCTGAGAACGTTCTGACCTGCATCAGCCTCATCTGAAATGTGAATATTGGCCGTACCTGCAGCAGCAGCAGGAGATGGAGGTCTAGTCCTGCGGCCGACCGGAGCTGAACAGCTGATGGTTTGGCAGATCTTGAATTCCACCCATCTTCTCTTGGACATCCTTCACTCTCCGCTGCCAAAGTGAGCTTCAGGTCCCACCTGTGAACTCGTTCGGTTCTGATGCTCAGAGACCCAGGAGCCCTGAACGTTTGGCCCGTGAATTATTCATGTGAGAGCAGCACAGGATCAGGTTCAGAAACTCAAACACCTGCTGAGAAGCCAAACTAACTCGCTGCAGCTCATGTACTCGACAGAAGAGAATAGAGTAGAAGAGAATTCTGTTGAGATCTTATCATGACTGAAGAAATACACTCAGAAAAACGGTACAAAAGCGGTCACTGGGGTGGTACCTTTTCAAAGGGCACACCTTTTTACCTAAAGAGTAGTACCTAAAGTGTACATATTAGCTCCTAAAGTGTACATATTAGCTCCTAAAGTGTACATATTACAGTTTTTCTCAATTGTTTACACGCAATTTTGAAAACCGGGTTCTTTTTTTCACAATATAAGCACAATTATCCAAACACCACACTCAATTTGCATAATTCCTAGATTGTTTGCAAAATGACACACTTCAGTCAAAACATATACACATTTGAAAATGCTATTAGTTTTCATTTAACCAACACAGTCCTCAATGATCAGACACTATTGCAGCCAGTTTCACACTGCTGTGATAAATAAAAAACACATTTGTACAAAAACTAATTTTAGGAAATAGCATGTGCTAGATTTTTGGCCACACATTGTTATGTAAGGGATAATTTAGATGGAAAAAAAATAAATAAATAAGTGACAAACCCACAACATTCTTCATGATTAGTTTGAGATATAGGGAGAATGTACACAAATTGGCCTACTATAAACTTACCAAGCACTGCACAACACTGATGCTGCAGACTGAATATTTCAAGTATTTATTTCAATACTTACAGTATTTCTTACCATAATCAGTTACAGTAATCAACCAACAATGAAATAAATGAAACAAATAAAATCTGTAGACAAATAAAAATTACTGCATGAAGTACATACACTTTGACTCTGAAGAAAAACTACTGTAAAAGCAACAAGAATACTGTAACTATTCATCATCTCTCCGTCTGGCTGGATCAGGCCATAAGATTTCATCCACATCACAGGCTATGTCTTCATTGGCAAGGCACCGTTGGAAGAATCGCCTCGTGACAAATCCACCCCTGCACAGAAGCTGCTTCGATATGATCACAGGCCTGCTCCATGGCCTGAATGAGGGGCAAACGGTCATAGGGCCGCAGGTCGTATACCTTCCACCGCCATGCTGAAAAAAACTCTTCTATTGGATTCAGGAAGGGGGAGTATGGGGGAAGGTATAAGACTTCAAATTCAGGGTGCTCATGGAACCAATTGTGGACCAGAGCAGCCCGATGGAATGAGACATTGTCCCAAACGACAATGTACCGCATCTGGTCCACTTGGTTGAATGCTGTGACAATCTCGTGCAATCTGTCAAGAAATGCAAGTATTAGATTTGCATTATAGGGTCCCAGATTTGCATGGTGGTGGAGGACCCCATTTTGTGTAATAGCAGCGCAAAGGGTGATGTTACCCCCTCGCTGCCCTGGCACATTGGTGATTGCCCTGTGTCCAATTACATTTCTCCCTCTTCTTCTTCTTGTTTTCGCAAGGTTAAATCCAGCCTCATCCACATATATAAATTCATGTTGAATTTCTGCAGCATCCATTTGCAAGACTCTCTGAAACACAGTAAAAGACAATAGGATGTTATTCAATATCTATTGCACAGTATTTTTTTGTGCCAGAACATTATGAGCAGTGCACAATACCACACCATAGTAAGATGAACAATACATACCTCCACATACTCATTGCGCAGATGTTTCACTCTCTCTGAATTTCTGTCAAATGGTACCCGATACAGTTGCTTCATGTATATTTGATTTTTCTTGAGGATTCGACCTAATGTTGACAGAGAGACTCGTTGGATGTTATTGAAAATATGGTCATCATTGATGATATTGGCTTGGATTTCTCGCAGCCTGATACAATTATTGGTCAAAACCATGTTCACAATGGCAGCCTCTTGTGCACGAGTGAACATAGGGCCCCTTCCACCTTGGTGTCCTCGACCCTCAATCCTATGTAAAAAAAAAATAATAAAACAAATACACATGCATCCTACTGTCAAATGTCACAGTAAACAATATTGATGATAAGTACAGCAAGCTTCAGTTTCAATGTACTGTGTGGTTAGCTTACCTGTTTTCTCGATGAAATGTCCGAATTACTGACGCAACAGTATTTCTGCTGAGATTTGGTTGAACTCTTTGTCCAGCTTCCATCAGTGTCAGTCCATGGTTGATAACATGGTCAATAAGTGTTGCACGGATTTCTTGAGTCAAATTTGGTCCTCGTCTTCTTTGTTCAGGTTCTATCAACTCTTCAAGTCCTTCTCTACCTCTTCCTCTACCTAGGCCTCTTCCTCTATCTCCTTCTTCTCCTATTCCTCTACCTGGGCCTCCTCCTCTACCTCCTTCTCCTCTTCCTCTACCTCCTTCATCTCCTCTTTGAGCTCCCCCTCTCATTCTCACTCTTCTTCTTCTTCTTCTAGCTCCTTCCATTTTTGTTGAAGACAGGTGAACTCACCTGCTGCCTTTTATAGCACACCTGAGTGCTGCGTTTTCAAATTAGCACATGTGTGCTTCCACACCTGGTGGATGTGATTATCCAATTCGTTCATTAGTGTGGTCATTGGCAATCCGGGGCTTTGTAATGACAAGGAAGTAACCTCACAATCCTTATCTGTGTCTAAGGTGTGAAAATGTGTGTAGAGTTTTACAAATCACTGTGTGTAATGTTTTGCAAAAAGGGTGAAGCAGACATTGTGTGTAATGTTGTGCAAATCTGTGGAGGTGTTTTGCTCATTGGAGTAGAATTTTGCAAATTGTGTGGAAATTTTTATTTTAGTGTGTAAACAATCGTAAAAAACTGTAAATGGTCAGGTGCTGATGAAAAAGATGTGTCTTTAGACATTTTTTGAAAATGGTTAAACACTCAGCTGCTCGAATTTAGATAGGCAAGTCGTTCCACCAGCCCAGCATGAATGCAGAATTGTGACGACATTGAATATCAAATTAAAGCATAGGACTGAATATAATGGATGAGATTCAGGGAATTTACCTGGAACCTCACAGTTTTTCACAGTTCTTTCTTCTAAGCGCTCTCAGGAATCAAAAAGCAACACGCTGCCCGGTGTGAAGCGCAAACTCACAAACTTCAGATTATGAGACTGACGCGCTGCCTAACTGCGCCAACGAAGCCTGTGGGCTGATGGGGCTGAACAGAGAATCACTAGC